GGGCAGAAGCTAGAAGCTAAGAAAAAAAAAAAAAAAAGAAGCTTTCACTTTTATTTGAGAGATTACTGATATAGAAGCCAAATTTCCTAACAAACAAGATATTTCAGTGATTAAAAACAAATAATATACTGCAAAATCAAAGATTAATATGGTGAAAATATTAAAAAAACAAAATTTGAAACATAATTTGGTGAATTTTCTTATTCTATTCATGAAAAACTACCTTTATTTAAAAGGCACTAGAAGTATTCTTTCTTAACATGTTAAGTTATAAACACATATACACGCACACACATTCGTGTGCAGTGTTTAACAGGAATCACATTAAAGTCATTACCTGAGTAAGTGCCTGTTGACACCAATGTTATTTATTGCTGACTACAGAATTAAACAAGAAATCTGAAAGTGGTACACATGAAGAAAGGCGGAAGAGGGGAGACTAAATATTATTATTTAGAATGCCTGGATAGCTCAGTTGGTTAAGTGTCAGACTCTTGATTTCTGCTCAGGCCATGATTTTAGGGTCCTAGAATGGAGACCCACATAGGGCTCCACACTCAGTGGGAAGTCTGTTTAAGGTTTCTCTCTCTCTCTCCCTCTGCCTCTCCCCTCGCTCTTGCTCTCTCTTTTTTTTTCTAAAATAAGGAAACAAATCTTTAAGAAAAATAATTATTATTATTTAAAATGAAGTGATGTGTACTTTGAAACACCCAAGATAAATATATATACATATAAAAAATATATATATATATATAATTTTTTAGAAAAAAGTTGAGTAAGGTAACTGGTTAACAATTAAGTATAAAAATCAATAGTTTTAGTGTATACCATTTAGAAAATATACTAGAAGAAAGGATGGGACTTATAGTACAGTGAAGAAAAACACCTACCTAGAAAAACTTAAAAAAAAAGTCTTGAACTAAAAAAAAAAAAGAAAGAAAAAAAATGTGTGACATTCCAGTGGAATCCAAGGGAAAAAACTATGAAAAATTGTTAAGATATATAAAAATATTACTTCCCTAAGGTTGAAGTGATAAATTCAGTTAATCTCAAAACAAAATCCAAACTGACCATTTTATTAAATAGTAAAATGAGTCTAAAGTTCACATAGAAAAATAAATATGTGATATTCTTCTGAAAAAGAATATGGTGAGTGAGAAATGACTCTGCCAAACATTAAAATGTGTTGCCACCAGTGTTCCAATGTAAGAATTGACAGAAAAGAGGAACATTATGGAAGTCCCCAACTATGCCAATAAAATGTGTGAAATTTTATATGTGGACAAGAAAGGAAAAGACTATTTATTAAGTGTAATTCTTATGGCTACCTAAGTATTTGTGAAAAAATAAGTGTGATACTTACTTCATTTCTCACAAGCCAGATGGTTCAAAATTTTGATGGACAAAACAAAAATAAAATGTTAGTAAAACTCTGAATTCATGAATGAATTAAAAAAATAATATTGCAGGGCACCTAGGTGGCTCAGTCTGTTAAGTGTCTGCCTTCCAATCAGGTCGTGATCCTGGAGTTCCAGGATCGAGCCCTTCATTGGGCTCCCCACTCAGTGGGGAGTCTGCTTCTCCTTCTGACCCTCTTCCCTCTCATGCTCTCTCTCTCTCTCAAATAAATAAATAAAATCTTTTAAAAAATAAATAAATAAATAATAAAGATAAATACAAATAAAAAATAATATTGAGAAAAGATTTATTTATAAATACAATATGTGAATAAACTATGAAAGAAAAAAAACTCTCTGGTTGGAAAGATATCTTAAAGTAGATTTATATTGATCCACTCTGACAATTTCTGTCTTTTAATTGGTGCATTTAGACCACTGACCTTTAAAGTGATTATTTAGACAGTTTGATTAATATCTACCGTATTACTGTTTTCTATTTGCTGTTTTTATTCCTTGTTCCATTTTTGTCTTCCACTTTTTCTGTCTTTTGTGTTTTTTAATTGAGCATTTTACAGGATTCCATTTTTCTTTCTTAGTATATCAATTCATAGGAGATATATATATATACTTATATAATGTAATCTATTGTTGGTACTCTAGTTTGAACAAACTGCTATGTTATATCAATTAAGAAAAGTAAAAAGTTTTTATTTTTTATTTTATCTTCCATTCTTCTTCTTTTTTTTTCTTTTTCTTTTCTTTATGTAGATCTAAATTTCTCATCTGTATCATTTTCTTTCTCTCTAAAGAACTTTTTAAAAACATTTCTTACAATATAAATCTACTGGCAACAAATTCTTAAGCTTTTGTTTGTCTGAGAAAGTCTTATTTCTCCTTTACTTTTGAAGGACAATCCCACAGCATACAGAATTCTAGGTTGGTGTTTTTTATCTTCTTTCAATTCTAAATATTTCATTTGACTCTCTTCTTGCTTACGTGGTTTCAGAAGCGAAGTTAGATGTAATTCTTTTTTTTTTTCTCTTTTTGTTCCTGTACAGATAGGATGTTTTTTCTACTGGCTTCTTTCAAGATTTTGTCTTTAGCTTTGATTTTCTGTAATTTGAAAATGATATGCCTAGGTGTAGTTTGTAATTTTGTTTCGTTTTGTTTTGTTTTGGCATTTGCCCTGTCCTAATGTTTTCTAAGCTTCTCGGATCTGTGGTTTGCTGTCCAACATTAATTTGGGGACATTCTCAGTCATTGTTGTTTCAAATATTTCTTCTATTCCTTTCCCTTTTTCTTCCCCTTCTGTTATTCCCATTATGTGTATGTTGTACCTCTTACAGTTGTTCCACAATCCTTGGATATTCTGTTCCACTTTTTTCAGTCTTTCTTCTGTTTGCTTTTTTGTTTTGAAGGCTGATATTAATATATCCTCAAGCTCAGAGATTCTTTCCTCAACTGTGCCCTGTCTACTAATAAACCCATCAAAGGCATTCTTCATTTCTTTTATGTTTTTTATCATTAGCATTTCTTTTTTATTCTTTTATTGAATTTCTACCTCTCTGCTTACATTTTCCATCTGTTGTTGCATACTATTTACTTCACCAATTAGAGTCCTTAGCATATGAATCATAGTTGCTTTAAATTCCCTGTCTGAAAATTCTAACATCTCTGCCATGGCTGGTTCTGATGTTCATTCTCTCTTCAAATTGTGTTTTTTGCCTTTTGGTATGCCTTGTAATTTTTTTTTTTTTCCTGATAGCTAGACACAATATGTTGGGTAAAGGAATTATTATAAATAGAGCTTTTATACTGTGATGATGAGGTATGGGGGGAGAGGAAGTGTTCAATAGTCTTATGATTAGGTCTCAGTCTTTTAGTGATCCTCTGTCTCTGGACTGTGAATGTTAGGATTTTTCTCTCCTCTTTGGTTGGACAAGATGGTTAGAGTAGGCTGAAGTTGGGTATTTCCCTTCCCTCAGGTTAGTTAGGCTCTGGTAATATCCCAGCCCTGGAGTTTTTAACTCTCAGTCTTTACTGAGCCTCCAGCAATTTGTCAACTACTGTTAAGTTTTCCTATCCAAGCCCTGGTTCCCAAAAGGTTTGCACTCCTGAGTGCCTGCCCTGGTAAGCCTCAACTCCCTATATTCACCTGTTTGGCTCTTTTTGGGGCACATCAGTTTGCCCTATGTCATTTCTTCCCCTATGAGCCAAGAAGAGTTGTTGATTTTTTTAGTCTGTTCAGCTTTGTACTTGTTGTTGGGATGGAGGGATAACTTCCAAACTCCTTGCATGCAGAACTGGAAAACAGAAGTCTTAAATTAGATTTAAATAAAGTAAATTTAGAAATATTTAGAATATATATATATATATATATATAACAAAGCTTTAATAAACACAATATAAAAACTGTTTTAAGGGACGTCTGGGTGGCTGTCAGTTAAGCTTCTGTCTTTGGCTCTGGTCATGATCCCAGGGTGCTGGGATTGAGTCCTGCATCAGGTTCCTTGCTCAGCAGGGAGCCTGCTTCTCCTTCTGCCAGCCACTCTCCTGCTTGTGCTCTCTCCCCCCTTTCTCTGACAAATAAATAAATTAATAAAAAAAGTTTTAAAAATACAAAAAATAACTTTAATAAACATAATATAAAATTTGTTTTAAAAAAACAAATAAAAGGGGCACCTGGGTGGCTCAGTCAGTTAAACATCTGCGTTTGGCTCAGGTCATGATCCCAGAGTCCTGGGATCAAGCCCCATGACAGGCTCCCTGCTTAAGGGGAGTCTGCTTCTCCCTCTCCCTCTGCCCCTACTCATGCTCTCCTCTCTCTCTCCCTCTTTCTCACTCTTTCTCTCAGAATAAATAAAATAAATAAAATTTTAAAAATAAATTAAAAAAATACATTTTTTAAAAAACTCTGAACAATCATTTCACAAAGTAAGAAATACAAATGATGAATGTATATGAAGTTATTTTATAAGTAATTAAGAGAAAGCAAACTAAAGTATGAATAATATATATTTCACCAGTAATTGTCAAAATATTATCCAATGCTTCTGAAGATGTGTGAAAACTATCATAAGTTACTTTACAGATATTCAAGATTCTATTTATGGGAATTATCCTTCCCCTTCCAAAAATACTTAATTAAGAATATATAAACAAAGATGTTCATTTCAACATTATTTTTAATAGGGAAAATTAGAAGTAATGTGAAAGGCTATCTTTAGTGGAATGGTATAAATTGGGATACAATGAAATAATATCAACCATTAGAAGTAAATGAAAATATAGCTTTTTTATACAATTAAGTTAGATAAAGTCAAATTATAAGGTGATGCGTTTATTACATGCTGCGTATAAATGTTACAAAACATATGCTTAAAATCCTCACAGTGGTTCTCTCTGGAAGATGATTATACTTTCTACTTTGGTGTTCTTGGCTTTTTATCATGAGCATATTTCTTTTTTCTATAAAATAATATGTTTTAATAAAAGATCTTCCACGCTAAAGAAGTACACACATTTAACTCTTGTTATCTGGTCTAGAAGATTAAATGATTTTTGTAGAGATGATAATCCCATTTTGTTTTCTCCTACTAGGGAAAGGTGAGCATGGGAAACCTTACCCCCTCACTGAAGAGGACCATGATGACTCAGCTTACAGGGAAAACGGTTTCAATATTTTTGTCAGCAACAATATTGCTCTAGAGCGGTCCTTGCCAGATATTCGCCATGCTAAGTGAGTATCAGCAAGCCCATATGCAGTGTAGTTTTCTTTTTTTGTCTGTTTTTTTTTAATTATGTTTAATGTGTATTACAGTGAGACACATATTTATAAATTTTGCCATAATAATTTTTAAAAATAAGTTTGCATTTCATAATCTTAAATATTTAAATTTAAATTGAGGTAATGTTTAAAGTTAGAAAAGAATAAGTACCAACTTTCTACAACTTAATTCACATTTTCATTGAGTCGCTTGTATTATCTCTATTTAAAATAAAGTGTTTTAAGATATTACCCATATTTTTACCTTTGATCATGTAGATGATAAAGGAAACATTTTTTCTGGTGATTAGCATTCTCAGGACTGTCCACATATATATGACTTCATCTTCACCCAGCCATATTCAGTGCCATTGATGTTACATCTTGCATAAAGAATGCCTACAATAAATGCATCCATAATCCAAAGGTTATGGTTGGTTGCTCAATTTCCTGTCACTTTATGAATTGTTTGTAGCTTATCAATTAACAGTGAATTCAGTTTTTACTGCACTATAGTTAAATAGTATAGTGCAAAAAGAAGCAAGAAAGATATCATATATAGTTTCCTGATATCCCACCCCTATCTACTCTTAACGTTGCTTACTGTACTTTTTTTCTAGTCTGTTATGATTTTCTTGTTAGCATATACAAGGCCAAAAGCATGCCGAAAACGTACAATGGGATCAGAATTTGGAGTTTGTGGAATTGCCATATATATCTGATAAATCTATCCAACTATACTAATATGTTTACCCCTGCCTTCACCTCAGTCTCCATTTGGAAGCACTGGTGTGAGAGAATGAAAATCAGAGAAAATAAAACAAGGGCAGGGCGCTTGGTTGCCTCCATTGGTTAAAGTTCCAACTCTAGATTTCAATTCAGGTCATGATCTTGGGTCTTGGGATTGTGCCCCCGTGTTGGGCTCTGTACTCAGCAGGGAGTCTACTGGAGATTCTCTCTCTCTCCCTCTCCCTGTGCTCCTCCCCTTGTGCTCTCTCTCTCTCTAATGAATAAATAAATCTTTAAAAAAATAAGGGCAATAATAAAAATAGAGGTAGGAATCAAAATCAAATCAGTAATGTACAATAAAACTCTTAATTTTTTGCAAAAAAAATTAACCCTTCCCCAAAAAATCAGTAAATTATGGTTTGGGGATAATTTTTTAGTTGCCGTATTGTGTCTTTATAAATTCATTTTAAAATGTAAAAGAATTACTTGTTTCTTTCTCAGGTTTTATGTGAATTTGCATTTCCCAACATAGTTAAGCAGAGGATTAATGTGAAGAACAAATCAATTTTCCCCTAAACTGAATGCTTTATATATTGGTCTAGGCCTTCTAGCTAGCCAAACTATTCCCAGGTTACCTGAAATTATCTACAGTAATTCCCACTGACCGAGAACATTTCTAGTTATGAGAAATTTTAATACCTAATTGCACACCATCAAAGATGCATTAAATTGCATTGTTGGCATAATAAATGTGCTCAGAGAATAATTTCCATCCACCTCCTCCCCCACCCCCACACTTCCAATCTTTTAATGTGTATTCAAGTGGAAAGAATTGCAGATGGAAATAGTGCAGAAAATCACTGAAGTCAAAAGAAGGCTGATATTCCCATTCTTCTCAGTATATTTTTAGCATAACTACCACCTTTGGGGAAAAGATATTCTTAGGCAATAATGGAAAAGAAAATGGAAAAATGGAGAGAAAAATATTTTGAAATTTTTATTAGAGTTATTGAGTTTACAGTATCAGAGGGCATTATTCTAAATGTTAGGGGAGATAAATGTGGCTAAAATATGGTCGCAGACCATATTTTACTTATTTATTGAGGCTGGATATCTAGTGGGACACTCACCTAGTAAAATGACACCAAAACAGAAAAAAAAAAAACTTTTTTTTAAGATTTTTTATTTGAGAAAAAGCGCAAGCTGGGGGAGGAGCAGAGGGAGAGGCAGAGGGAGAAGCAGACTCCCAGCTGAGCAAGGGGCTCGATCCCAGGACCCCAGGATCGTGACCTGAGCCATAGGCAGATGCTCAACAGAGCAAGCCACCCAGGCACCCTCAGGAAAAAAAAAAAAAAAAAAAACCCTTATTAGAGGGCTGGAGATGGAGGACTGCAAAGAGTTAATTTCAGGACTACTAGGAGTGATAGTTTACCCTGGTTAGTCTAGTATCTGACTCTCAGAGATGCAAGAAGAGAGATCCAATGCAGCCTCATTTTGTCCAGGTCCTTCCTACCCGTAGGAAATTGAGAGCCTAAAATAAACAAAAAAATCTTACAGGGATCACACTGTTTAAAGTCCTATGCGTTTGACCTCATCTGTGCTTCTCAAAATGCAGGCACAGATAACCACAAAAGCATGTAGCTCTGTGTAAGTGGTTCTTGAAATTATGAAAGCAAACTGACACAAACTCCATCCAGTATTATCCATTTAACTAGGCTGCAGGTAATTGACCACAGCTTGTTTATATTGACAGAATCTACAGAAGAGAATGGAAAATTTGTGTGATTTTTGCAGTCAAACATAACAGTTCTAAGAAACTTTGCATCTGCAGTCAGCCAATTCAAATTACAGGCTCAAAGTGCCAGAAGAGAAAAATTTATTTTTCTTTGCTCTGGGATTTTGTAACGGAAAATATTGAGGAATCATATCTTGCAATTTTGCTTAGATTGGTCTTTATTCCAAAACACAGAATTGTAGTTCTTACTCCACTGTTCTACACTATAGATCACTCTCCCTGTATACACAAGTGCTCTCTCTACTCATTCATATTCTTACAGTTAACAAATTAAAAAAAAATAAATCATGGTTCTAGGTGTTTGACATGCTTAGTGTACATGCATTCTTGTTCACTGTGGAGAATTCTCAGAACATGAGTTATTTCAGAAATCCCATTCCAGAACACATTCTTCCTTTACCTGTCCTGCTCCTTTCTTATCCAATAGCATAAAAATGAACTGTTTTCCTTTGGCTGTATTATTTCATTGAGTCAGTAATAGATTCTCATTAAGTGGGGAGCCATAGATTAAGGAAAGTCAGTTGGCATGTGTCCAATAAATTAATCATTCTTAGTCATGTCCTAATAATAAATTCCAAGGTTCTCACTTATGTTTTTAAATTTCTTACATTTGTCCAAGTAATTTTAGCATCTCTCTATCTAGTAAATTACATTTTAGTGGGTTTTCTTTTTGTTGTTTTGTTTTGTTTCCCATCTATGCTTTGGTATTGTCGAATTTTCTACCCCTTCTTCCAGATCCATATCCCTACCCTTTTTGTTTACTTTTCTACTTTTTGAAGACCTATCTGTGCATTTTAAATACTCCCTTCTTGACTTACTGCCTAATTATGTCTATATTCATAGTCCTGGGGCTCAAACTGAGATATGTCCTTAAAACATATTATTTTTATATTTTATCTAATGCAATGCTGATGAGAATTTTGCTATGTGAGTGTCTGCGTAACAAATGTTCAGTCAGTGGATACTTTATCGTCCTGGCTTCATTTTACTACATTTCAATTTCCTGTCACCTGTATATTGTTTGTGCATGTTCTTTGTATTCCTTCACTCTTCTGAGATGCCACATCTTTGTATGCTGTAGAACATTTTATTTTGACTTCCAGTTCAAGATGGGAACTATGAAGCATATATTCAGAATACAAAATACATATAAAATAGGGAAGTAGAAAACCATGGAAGGATGGATGGCTTGCATAGAAAAGAAGCTGATAAACTTATGTATGACTATATTGTTAGCAAGATAAGATGGAAGAATATTTGAGTGAGTATTACTCCCTAGACATAAATAAATTTCTAAGTAGTTACCACAAATACTCCCCCAAATGTGATATAATTAACGTGTGCAAGATGAAATTACATCTATGAAGAGATATACATGAGACTAGGATGCCTAAGTACATGTATAATAGGAGCATTAGGAGCATTGAGGTGGGCTTTGCAGAGGATTCAGGTAAATGCATCATGACTTGAGGTTCATTTTTGCTGTTAGAAAAAAACACACGTTTATACAAATACATAGTCATATACATACACATTAATCAAGATGCATTTATAAGGTGGCTGAGTAGCTGGGATATTTTTGTACTAAAAAATTCTACTCTGACTTGTGGCCTTTCCTTTTCATTTAACTTTTCCTTTATATTTCACTTACATTCCTGAGATAGCTTCATGACTTTGACAATAAATAAAATATTGAATACTGAGAAAAAATTCTGTGGTGTCTCAACTCTTGGGAAAATGTACAAGAATTTTTACAACCTCTTGATTATATGAGTGTTTTCAGTAGCATTGCAGTTACATCACAACACTGCTCCCTGTACAATTTCAGAACCAAATGAGAGATTGTCCCAGAAATGGTTGGGAATTAAAATATTATTTTTATTATTGATAGGATTCTATCAGTGGGCATGATGTAGATGTAGGCTAAGTGTGAACTCTAGAATGAGGCACATTCAGCCTTCAAGTCATAGGCATTGCGGAACATGCAGAGACAGTTGTATAACATAAGGCATGGAGGGCAGAGTTAGATGTCTGACCTCTGCAGGCAAGCAAGTTGCAAAGCAAAAAATGAAGGAGGGGCTGAGCCAAGTGTAATAAGCTCACTAACACAAATTCATCAGTTGTGTGTCCTTTCTCCTAGAAAGGAGGACTAATCTAATGGCTGTCCCTCTACATGGGACTATCTATCTGAGAGGAGAGGAGTCTAATATCTAAATGCCTAATATCTTCTTTGTATATGATGAGAAATCACAATTTCTCAACATAACAAACTTTTGAGTGATTTTTTTTTTTATTTTTCAGTGCCTTATAGTCTAAGCATTCTTGCCTTCTGTAAGTTATGTTGAAAAATAATTCTAAAATGGTTTACTTCCATGACTTGCACTGTGGTGCCAAACAAGTCAATTTGTCATTTTTAATTTCTGTGTACCCACTTCACCAAGTGTGGATA